ACGGCGCGCCCTATAGCGCAGTGCGCCCTGTGTGTTGTAAGGAGGACGTAGTAGAGAACACCATGAGAACGCTAAAGGGTGAAGTGTGGGCGCAACCCTGAAAATGGCAAAGAGACACGCTTATGAAGCACAGTTTAAACTGAAGGCCATCAGCTACGCGGAGGAACATGGAAATCGAGCAGCGGCGAGAGAATTTAAGATTAACGAATCGATGGTTCGCAAATGGAGGAAGCTAGAAAACAAGCTCCGGCAGGTCAAGAAAACGCAGCTGAGTTTCCGCGGACATAAGGCGAGGTGGCCCGAGTTGGAGGAAAGACTCGAGCGGTGGATCATCGAGCAAAGAACGAGCGGGAGAAGCGTTTCGACGGTCACCATTCGGCTAAAAGCAGTTTCACTTTCACTTTTTATGAAACGGTGCCATTTTTCCATCCGGACCAGGACTACGGTAGCGCAGCAACTTCCAGCGGATTATAAGGAAAAGCTGGCCATCTTCCGCTCCTACTGCAGCAAACACATCGGCGACAAAAACATCCAGCCCAGCCACATCACAAACATGGACGAGGTCCCGCTCACTTTTGACATCCCGGTGAGTCACACTGTGGAGAAGAAGGGGACCAGCACGGTAGCGATACGCACAACGGGGTATGAAAAGTCTTCTTTTACTGTTGTGCTTGGCTGCCATGCTAATGGACAGAAACTGCCGCCTATGGTGATTTTTAAGCGAAAGACTTTGCCTAAAGAGAAGTTTCCAGCAGGAATCATCATTAAGGCAAATGAAAAGGGCTGGATGGATGAGGAAATGATGAAAGAGTGGCTGAGGGAGGTGTATGTAAGGAGACCAGGTGGTTTTTTCCACGCATCACCATCGCTCTTAATCTGTGACTCTATGCGTGCCCATCTCACAGCCGATGTGAAAAAACTTGTGAAGCAAATGAACTGTGAGCTTGCTGTCATTCCGGGAGGCCTGACAAAGGAACTCCAACCGCTGGACATCGGTGTGAACCGCCCGTTCAAAGTAAGGCTGCGAGCGGCCTGGGAGCGATGGATGACCGGTGGAGACCACAGTTTCACTAAGAGTGGAAGGCAGCGCCGGGCGAGTTACGCCACAATTTGCCAATGGATTGTAGATGCTTGGGCTAACATGTCTGCTGGCACTGTTGTTCGAGCTTTCGCAAAAGCCGGCATCATTTCCGAGGAGCCGCACGGCACGGAAAGTGACTCTGACGGTGAAGACAGTGAACCTGGCATGTTTGATGGAGATTTAGCGCAGCTGTTCAATTCAGACACAGAGGATGAGGACTTCGATGGGTTTGATTGATGATAAAAATGTGAGTACCAAACTTTGTTTTGCTCCTGCTTTATTTTTAAATACGCACACTTGTATGCTTGTGTGTTGTTGATGATGACGATTACTGGTAATAAAAATGTGAGTAAGGTACCGAACTCAGGTTTGCTCCCGCTTTATTTTTAAATACGCATACGGTACTTGTATGCGCCCTATGATCCAGTGCGCCTTATGTGTGTGTTAAATACAGTAATGGCACACATAACTGAGACTGCGCCTTTTAGTACAGTGCGTCTTATGGTCGTGAAAATACGGTACTTTTCCCTAGCTTCTCCTAATCACCGTCCTGTGTAGACTGTATATTGTCTCAGTCTCCTCTTGTCCTTTGTTAGAGTGTTAGTCCACGTCCTGTTTCTCGCTCCTCGTGAGTTGAAAGTTTGCATTTGTTTTTGGTTTCGTTTTGTATTTTGCTTTATGCTGGTACGTATCCGCTCAGTAAAGCGCTTGCCTTTAGATAAACCTCCTTCTGCCTCTGAGTCCTCATCACACTCACTATGACAGTCAGAGCTACTTGTCTCAAGCCAAAACTATCATGTGTGACTCGTCACACCCTCACGATGGACTGTTCTCCTTGCTGGCCTGTGGATAGAGGGTCTGCAGCTTTTTCACCAGGTCATCAGACTGCTCAACACGAAATGAAAATACGCTTTTTTGATCCCCACTCCAACCCCAACCCACGCGTACCCCCTACAGCCACTTGCGTACCCCCGAGGGTACGCGTACGGTAGTTTGGGAACTACTGGTCTAGTTCAACTCCCACTTCACGTTTATTACTCAGTGCTTCCAAAGTAACTGGCAGGGACCAGGCTGCTAACAAAAACGATTCATGTTGTTCTTGAGCTGCTTCTCTAGACTCCAGGTAGACTTAAAAATGAGAGGTTTAATTTGAATTGTAAATATAGCATCACATGGCTGCTGTGTATCACAACTGCTGAGAGCTTTTTTAGCTGCTGGCTTTTGTGATTTCCCTCTAGAGAGAACAAAGCTACACAACACGTGTGCAGCTTGGCTTTGCAAGTTACTGGTAGGGTTGCTACATTTCACAGTTTAGTACATTATTCATTTAGTGACATCTGATAATATTTTAGAATTTAGTTAAAAATTAAGTTATTTATTTATTTTTAGCATTTATTATTTTATGACAGTGCAGTGGAGCAGACAGCGGAGGAGGGGTAGAGGGGAAAACATGCAGTATATGGATCACCTGCTCAGCCCACTGTGGTGTGCTGCTGACCTGATCCTAGAATCATTTTAGGAAGTCAGACTTTGGATCTATATTCAAGCGGATCATCGATGCCCGGCTGCGAGAAATTGTCACAGTAACGCCCAACCAGTGTGGCTTCGTCAAAGGATGCGGCAGGAGCAGCAGGAGAAGCACCGGGAGAAGACCAAGACCATCCATATGGCCTTCCTCAACCTGGAGAAGGCTTTTGACAGAGTCCCTTATGACCTGATCTGGCACTCTCTGTGATCACACGGGGTCCCCGAGGCCTACGTCGATTGGATCAAGCTCGTGTACAGAAACGCGACCAGCACAGTCAGAAGCCCAGTGGGAACATCGCCACCTTTCAGCATCACCGTGGGCGTGCACCAAGGCTCCGCGCTGTCCCCGCTTCTCTTCATCCTCTGCATGGACACCGTGACCGCTGACCTCCAAGCACCCCGCCCTTGGACACTCCTCTATGCCATTGATGTCTTCCTCGCAGATGAATCCCGAATGGAACTGCAACGCCAAACACAGCAATGGAAGACACGCCAGAGTGAGTACGGGCTGAGGTTGAACACCAAGAAGACTAAGTGCTTAGAAGCCGACCCCCAAACCGACGGCACCATCAGCATCGATGGGAAAGACCTGGCAAAAGTATCTCACTTCCGGTACCTCAGATCGATGATCAGCAATGACGGCAACATCCTGCCAGACGTACAAGCCAGGATTAATGCAGTCTGGATGAAGTGGTGCCAAGTCACTGGTGTCCTGTGCGACCGACGAATACCTGCCCACCTCAAGTCAAAGATCTACAAAAGCATAGTGCGCCCTGTGGCCCTTTATGGATCAGGGTGTTGGCCGTCTACTGTAAAGCACGAACAGGCCCTTCACACAATGGAAATGTGGATACTGCGATGGTGCCTGGGCCTGAAACTATGGGACCATGTCATGAACACCGACTTCCGAAAGCGGCTGGGCATTACATCGATCACGGAGAAGATGCAAGGAGCGCAACTGCGATGGTATGGGCACGTGGTCAGAAGTGACAAAAACTGCAGAAAAGCGGACCCTGCAGAGCGGGAATGACGCTAGGAGGAGGAAGACTTTGGATCTGTACATGTTGAATGTTATGGGTTTTTTTAACTATTCTTTATCCAATTTTGTAATCGTATACAGCAGTAATTGCAATAGTAGCACACATTAAGACCTTTTTAATTAATTTATGAAATGTCTGAAAGTAAATAAATAATAATTTTTGTAGTTTTAAAGGCTTTTGTAATTTGTTTTACCGCATACAGGAAACAGAGCTCGGCAGGCTGCTGGGTTGTGGTAAAATGGAATTTGGGCAGGTGAAGGAGTGAAGTCACGGTCAGGTTTGTCAAGCTGGTAATTCTCTTCAGTATTAAAGCAGACATATAACAGCTCATGTAACCTGCTAAATGGGCTAAATCAGCCGCAGCAGTAGTGCAGGCATGGTAATAACAACATGCCTGCAAAGAACAAACACACCACAGCTTTTCACATCATGAGGGTAACACACAGACACATGCCGAGAGCTCAGGCTTCAGTCTGTTTTACACAATTTCATACAACTTGTTCTTTCCTACTGTTGTGTAATTCCTTATTTTTTTTTGCCTGTCCCATTTGGTTCTTTAGCCGTCAGAATTGTTGTCTGAAGACCAACAAGGATACCCAATGGATTTACTTTGCCAAATGGATCATCGTGGCATTGCCGTATTGGTCCATTTGATCGACCTTTGTTTTTATTATTTATTATATTTTATTTTCAGATGTTACAGATGGGACAGACATGAGTGAGGGATAGGAAAGGGAGAAAGCCCCCCCGCCCCAATGGCTAGCAGAGAACGGGGGTGTGTGAAGACCCCATACCTCCCTCCTCCCGCTCATGTGTAGTGTTGCTGCGTGTTGCTCTAAAGTGCATTTAAAACAAGGGAGAGCATGGTGCTGCTGCCAGAGAGCAGCAGGTGTTAGCACGGCCCCTCCCGAGAACCCTCAATGTCTACATGGATTTAATTCCTGATGTGTAATTCCTGATATTATCCTCGCAGTCACACAGCTCTGGTTATGATCACAGAAGCTCCACCCACCTGCTGATCAAAACTTGTGTTTACACGAGGCAACAAATCAGAAGAACGCCTCGCAGAGAATGGAAATGAGGTATTTTCAGGCACTGCACAGGGCACAAGTGTTCAGCCCCATCTTTGAATGAACTAGACTGTTTTGGTTGACAGCTGGTTTTTGGTTACTTACTTCGGACATGGTTCTCTGCACAGTACAACATATCTGCGGCGTGGATGAACTGATAGCCAGAGCCCCTCACCCGCAGCTCAGCCTCAGTGTACCCCAGCACTATCTTCCCCCTGTACAAAAAACGACCAGAGTTATCTCGGGCAGCTGTTTACAGTTCATTCCACATGTCACTGTAAAGAAAGCAAAAACAAAAAACTATAGTATTCTATTTTAGTATAGTCACCCTGTGAAACTTCTACCAGTGTGATGTTGTTTTAGTTTTCTCCATTTTTCTAAAAAATAAAACACCTCCCACCCATCTGACACACCCATGGATCTCATGAAGGAGGATACATATGATCAAAACACGTACAACACAACTTAACTTAACCTCCGACCTGGCGTCCACATATGTGGGCATCACATTTTGGGTTATTTGGACCAAAATACTCAATTTCGCTCTACAAGGGCCTGATATCCACTCACAAGGACATTATACTGCTACTGTTCTATTGAAACAAATATCCTCATACGTGGCTTTCATCTTTCTTAGAAACAAAAATTAGGTAAAAAAAATAATAATCTGGTAATTCTTTATTTTTACATTCATCAGGTCCCAATCAGCCCAAATATCAAAGAGAAATGAAAAATGCTGCCGTGGAAGAGCTCAGGTCTTAGGAGGTTAAGCATAACTAGTCTGTGGTTTGTCAGCTAGATTTCTTTGTCTCACTTTGAAACGCCAAAATCGTTCAACAGAAAATGAGCGATGTCACCTGAAATCTAACATCCAATGAAAATGCTCCACTTTAGCATGTGGCTAACACAAATCTCAAACCGAACTGTACCTCCTAACCCTAACAAACAAACAAACAAACAAACAAACAAACAAACAAACAAACAAACAAACAAACAAACAAACAAACAAACAAACAATCAAACAAATAAACAAACAAACAAACAAACAAACAGACGTAAGGTGTCTCAGTCGAATACAAAGTACTGAAATGTATTTTTACTTTGCGTCACAGGCCATGGGGGTGAAGTCCAGCTTGTGTTTGGTTCTAAAGATCATGTTCTTGGTTCTGATCTCTAGAATGGATGGAGGCTGAAGAGGAGTTGCAATAGCGAATAATGCAAGCAGCGGCGCAGCTTTCCCTCCATTTTCTTGCCACTGGTTCTGCCCATGCAAGAACTTGAGCCTTCCCTGGATATTCAAAGCCTGGAAGTAAGCAAAATAAGCAGTTATCCTTCTGGTAATGGATGTGACTTTGTATTTGTATTAGTAGATGTACTCTTTTTATAACCTGTGAGTACTACAGGTAACTGTAAAGATGGATCTTTGAGGGAAAACCTCAGTGAAGGTGGGCGTTAGCGGGCATGGGGACATGGAAACAGGTAGCAGACGACTCTGATAAAAGTTTGGATCCTTTTCTGGGAAAATGAAGCTCAGGAAACTGATCACCTATCAGTTTGAATATTAGTGATCCAGACTGTGAGTAGAAAGGGCTTTGAGTGTTCAGTTAGAGCTGAAAAGTACTACATAAATACCTGTTCATGTCTTTAACCCACCAGGTTTATAAGAATACACAGATACACTCCTACGATAGATGTCTACGTGCAGAGAACGGGAACGTCAAGTCCAGCGTGTTGAGCGTGTTGATGTGTTAGCTCTGGTAAAAATAGAAAATGTCACGTACCAGGAAACCAGAAGAGTTGTCCAAGAGGCAGCGAAAGCGACACACAAAGCTTCTCTCTAGGAAGGACGAGTTCTCCGGGGGCAGTTGCTCTGGGTTGTAGCAGACCACAGATGAGCTACTGTCAAATTCCATCTCTATAAAAACCACAAAGAAAACTGTGGGCAGAGCCATACTTCCATGTGTCGGTGTGTTTGTAATGCAGTGATTCTTGAAGGTCTGAATGGGCATTAGATATTGATTTTCAACCGGGTCCCTTGGGCACAGAGATTTTTAAAATGACAGTAGGTACTCGGGATGATGAGATACTCAAAGTGTTGGCAACTTTATACTGGAGAACGTCCGCTCATCTTCTGAGAAACTCTACCTCCATAAGATACAACCTGTTCATTCAACAGGTTCATTTAAATGTTCCTCCAGCTTTGCTTTTTCCTGCCTCAACTTTGAGACACATCAAATTCACCATGAGTTGTTATAATGTAGCAAACTGTCCTGGTTTAAAGATTTGATGTTTTCAGAAATGTGTTCCTGAGATTTGCAAATGATTTAAAGAAGAGAGTGCAAATGGTTTCTCGGAGTCCGTCGGTTGTGTCAGGGCCACAGGTCTTAAACACAGTGCTAACACGTAACACATAAGCATTTTAAAACCCAAACACACTTCACCTCATAAGCCACAGTGAAGATCACAGAGTCATGTGATCTGACCCGAGGCTGTTCTTACAGCTTAAACCATCTGATACTGACATCCAAATGTTCATGGTTGTGTTCATGTGGACAGCAGTTGAAGGTCAAAAACAAAGACTTTCATATTTGAGTCTTTAAGAAGTTCACAAATAATATTCAGTTAGATGATGGCAAAGATAATATTGAAAGATTTGCAGAATCTGAGGAAATCTGCAAGTTTTGGATCCAACATTGTAACAAACACAATGCCGTTGAAATAACTCTCACAGCTGCAAAGGTAAGTTAAAACTTTACCAAGCAAAGACAGAATAAAAAAGAAAAACGAGGTTGAGAAACTGGGAAAAGCCTTTGAGGGTAAAGGGCTCTGTAGTAAAGGAGTGTGTGTGCTGAGCTGTCATACAGGAATGACAGCACGTGTGGGGTGAGATCACCTTTGGGGGATGTTGGATCAGGAAGATTCAAAGCCCAGTCCAGGTTTCTTCTGAGCTCCTGCTGGTCCTCCGTGTGGACCAGTTCATACACACTCTGGTGCATGACATCAGTCTGAGAGAGAAAAAGAGACATTTATAAGCTTTTTAAAAACGTAACCTGATTCTAATTCTTTATTTTCCTCAACCTCATTGTTTGTTGATCTGTTGACATGCAACGGTGTTGGTAGTGTGTAAAGACTGTAGGTTGTGTGAGTCTGACTATGTGAAGTGATCTGAATGTGAATCTATACTGCTGCTGTTGTAAACATCTGTTGTGCCTCGTCATAGTAGTTACATGGAGACTAGCATCTTCAGTGAGTAACACACTTAATGCTAACAGTAAACTAAAAGCACACATTAGGTGATCTAATGGTTTTAACTTTAGTCTAAGAGAAGTTAAAGAATAATACAAACCTGCTTACACTCTGTGTGCGGTCGACACAGCACTTCTTTTATTTTTATTTTTTGCAAATATTTTTATTGAAATAAGAAAACAGTACTTGCAGTTACCCAAATACAATTGACCTTTCTTCATTTTCCTAAGTAAATATACTTACATATATATATATAAAAAACAACTAAACAAAAACGCAATCTAAAACAAAGAACCCCCCCCAACACAACAGTAACAGAAGTACATTTAGACAGGAAATACCTCTAGACTAGTACAATAAGAAATAAAGGGTTGCCACTTTTTGCAACCTCTGAACATATATTTAATTTTTTCAAGTTTAAAAAAAAACACAACATCTTTAAGGCACTGGGAAACAGTAGGTAGGATACTTAACAGACTTCCAATGCAACAATATTAGACGTCTCGCTAATGGGATGTGAAGGCTATAATATCCTTTTGTGTGGAATCAAGTGTACGTGAGCGATCAGGAATCCTGAATACAGCAATCAGAGGACAAGGATGAAGAGTTACCCCAAGAACAGCTGACATAATAGCAACCCTGTCCAGGAACCTTGTAGCTCAGGACACAGAAAAAGCATGTGGCTAAGGTGACAAGGAGAGCCGTGGCATTTATCACCAGTGTTGGTCAAGTTACTTGAAAAAAGTAATCAGTAACTAATTACTGATTACTTCCCAAAAAGTAATCCCGTTACTTTACTGATTACTTATTTTCAAAAGTAATTAATTACTTAGTTACTTAGTTACTTTTTAAAAACACGATTTACAACCTGAAGAGGTGATAAAGCGATAGATCTTTCAGCCCAATTCTACTTTTTCTGCATAATCCATCATACAAAATGTAATCAAATGGAAAAGTCTCTTTTTAAACTTGTTTTATCAGTTTTAATCTTTTAACTTTATGCATCAAGCAAAAATTTAATTATATGCAACATTCTCTGACTTGAATAAATTAGTTTAACATTTAAACCTATTTTCTGCACATTCCAGCACATAAAATAAAATATTTTTGTGTTTACACTCAGTCTTTCAAATAGATGCAAGTAAAACACAGCAGAAAATAAATAAAGTCAAAGACTCAGCGGTCCTGTTGCTCTATTTTCACCTGTAAAGCAGGAGTGGGGAGGCGGAGGTTTACCCTGGTGCAGGTGTGCCGCGGTCAGTGGAAGAATCCGCGAGTTTCTCTGTGAGTTTCCCATTACGTCGTAGCTACTCGGTGCTTGCTGGAAGTTTAGGGGTTTTTTCGCTGTAAAAAGAAGTTTTCTTCCCACGCACAGGACGCTAATGTTTTTGTCACTTTTTATGGAATCAAACTCAAAGTAAGGTCAGTACTTCCACGCTTTAAACGCTGCACGCTCATACTCTCTCCCACATCGATATATGATCCATTGTTGATCTGCACACAGCTGTTGTCACAACGTCGCACTCGCTTACGTCACTGTCATGAGACATTCTCGCAAAAATCACGGTTTTAGTAACGCAGTAACGCAGCGTTCCTACGGGAAAGTAACGGTAATCTAATTACCGTTTTTGCAATAGTAATCCCTTACTTTACTCGTTACTTGAAAAAAGTAATCAGATTACAGTAACGCGTTACAAGTAACGCGTTACTGCCCATCTCTGTTTATCACATTTATTTTCCACTTCTGGATACAATTCAGAAAGTCTAGACTCAGAGAAATGCACCCTGTGTATGACCTTAAATTGAATAAGTCCAAGACGAGCGCAGGAGGTGGAAGATCGTACCCTCGCTATAGCCTGTTCCCAAGACTCCTCATGTATTTGAATTCCTAGTTCTCCTTCCCATGGACACTTAAGCTTAACATTAGAGTGATTACTAAAAGACAGGATAGTATCATAGAGTTTCGAAATGGTTCCTCTGTGATGAGGAATAAATGATAACGTGGTTTCCCACTGCTGTTCTGGAGGTAAAGAGGGGAAATTTGGGAAACACTTGGCAACAAAATGTCGAATTTGAAAATAGCGAAACAAATGGGTGATAGGGAGATCGTAACGAGAAGACAAGTTGGGAAAACTATCGAAAACACCATCCACATATAAATGTTTGAACTGTTTTATACTCTTGTCACACCACACTGAGAATGTCGAGTCCAAGAGTGAAGGGGGAAACAAATGGTTGTTGCTTAGACGAGCCGAGGAAGACGGCATTACAAAATTAAAGTGCCGTCTAAACTGAAACCAGATCTTGAGTGTGTTAAGAACCACCTGATTATCAGTGTACAGAGAGGGTCTCACGGGTAAAGAGCAAAGCTGGTAAAGAAGAGCCCTTACATGATGATAGCTCCAATTTACACCACGAGGAACCAGAAGATTTTAGCCAGTAGCAAAGTTTATGGATGTGAGCGGCCCAGTAGTAGGCTAGAAAATGAGGTAATGCAAGTCCTCCACTAAATCTGCATCTCTGCAGTGAAGTTTTAGAAACCCTGGGTGGCTTCCCTCCCCAAATGAAAGAACCAATAATCTTGTCCAGTGAAACAAAAAAATGTTTCAGCAAAAATAATTGAATCGACTGAAATAAAAATAAAAATTTTGGTAAGATGTTCGTTTTAACAACATCAATCTTACCGATTAAAGAAAGGGGGAGATTACCCTGTCTTTGAATATCAGATGTGATCCTTGTATAAGAGGAGACAAATTTGCTGATTTAAGGCCAGATAGAGAACGAATCACGTTAATCCCTAAGTACTTAAACCCAGATGGACTGAGACGAAAGGGTAGATTGGACCGTTGAAGTTGACGTGCTGCCGTATTAACAGGAAAACACTCACTTTTCCCTAAATCTAATTTATAACCTGAAAACGAACTGAAGTTCTCCAGAATACCTAAAACAGCAGGGATGGAGCATGTGGGGTCAGTCATATATAATAACAAATCATCTGCATACAATGATACTTTATGTGTAATTCCATTACGGATGATTCCCCTGAATACAGAAGAAGATCTCAATGTAATAGACAGAGGGTGTGGTCGCGGTTTGCAAACTAGGCCTCAGTTGTGTTTGAATAGTACTGCGGGTTTTAACATTTTTTGCTGCCATTTTACGCAGGCCCGAGTAAAACTTCTCAACAAAACAATCCACAAACCAAAACAGGACTGGAAATATGGCCGAAAAGCGCGAATGAATAACAACTTAATCGAAATCGGCGGGAGCTCCCAGACTCGCGTCCCACTCCATCAAAGCTCAACCAGAAGTCCCACAGCACTTCTTTTAAACAGAGTTCCTTGTTTTCTATAATATAGAACCCTGATAATATGCCACAGATGCATTTTTATTACATTTTTATTGTCACAGAAGTCCTACTATTAGATATAATAATGGTGCAAGCTCCACCTGTACATAGTGCTTAAAAGCTGGACGTAACACTGTGCGAGCAGTGGTGCAGAGACGTGCTGTGCACTGCAGGATGCTGTTGTGGCCGCTGGTTTCTACAAAAGGCCAAGCTATAAATAGGTCTTTCTGCAGCTGCCTGTGACCCTAGCATGCAGGGACTATACTAATGGATCGACGCAGACCCCCGTGTTGCTGCCGCCAGTTGTTGCACGCAAGCAACGCATTTATCAGCTGATGAAGCAGAGCCTCTAACACCTGTAAAATTACTACTTTTGTATTTCAATACAATATAAAATATCGAATAAATCGTTAGAACCCAGGACCTACTTAATGCCACCATGTCACAATGACACCCATTTAGAACCTGTCGCCTCCCTAAATGCTAAGCTACTCTGGCTTCTGGTTCTCAGTAGTGAGGAATGACAATCAATGGATGTAAGTAGAGTGAAAAACAGACTGATACCTGATGGAAGCCCAGATAGTCCTGAATGGTGTGAGAGGAGTAGAAGATGGTCCCACTGGCAGTGATAACCAGGATGAATCCATTGAGAGCCTGTTAAAGCAGATGCACAGACAGTGACACGGTTGTGCTTTCATCTGTGTGCTGCAGGATCTGACTGTCATCAGCCAACATGATCATAATGATGTGACTTTAACTAGAGGATATACATTGACGAACAACAGGTACAACAATATGTTCTATTTTTCCCTTTTCGTTCATTTCCATCTAACAACATTTTATTCAGACAGTGGGAGGTGGAATAAACGTGGATCTGAGGTTGTGGTTTGGGGTGGGCCCTCTGTGAGGACTGGTGCTGGCTCTCTGGCTGTGCAGACCTCCAAAGAAACTGTCCTGCATGAGGAGCAATGACTGAGCGTGACAACAGTCTTGACGATTACAGTGAATGTACGCTGTATTGAAAAAAGTACAGTATTAGCTTGTCTGCATTCACAAACATTCAAACCTAAGATATGCTTTTGTTAATTGATCGTTTTTAATATGATGTTTGCAGCTACAACAGTGAGAGCTCCAGTTTTTGGCTCGCGGTATCCCAAAGGTGTTCTGGGTTGAGGTCATGACTTTTTTCTAGGGATAGACAGAATCCAATATACAGCATCGGTCCGATCCTGACCTAAATTACTGGATCGGATATCGGGGAGAAAAAATATATAATCCGATCCATTAAATATCACAAAAGCGCCTCAGAAAACTTGCAACATGGCGTAACCCAGGCAGTGACCTCAGCACGTCGGAGCAGTATGCGTCACGTGACAGAGCGGCTGTTGTGTGCGAGACCTGTCGGCAGTCTGGAGTTCACACTGAAAGCATTTGGAGCCGCGCTACATCCTGCCAAACCAGGTGTTGTACCAAGGTAGGGATTCCCGAGAAAACCTGCCCCGCCCCCGCTGCGAGCACCCGCCGGACACAGAGTGGGATCCAGTTCACTCCGCCTCCGTTACAGACAATTAGACGTGGAAGTAGTGATGTTTGAGTTTTGTGAAAAAGTGAAAATGAGTGTCGTTATATTACCATTCAGTTTGAGGGTTCTCACGTGGTGAGGGACGGGGTTGTTTTAACAAACGCCTGATGATTATATTTATCCTCCTGTGACTTTGCTGTATAAAGAGCTAAAACCTCCAACGTTTCAGGAGGAGTTCGTCGTTATAAGAAGTCGGTTTATGTTCAGCTTTAAGAATAAAAGGGTCCATTTTTTCTAACGTTGTTGAATATAAATATTATTTTCTGCTGATATTGCACTTCTTTATTTCAGAACCAAAGAGTTTGTGAAACCTGCATAAAATTGCATTTTAAATTCCTTTTTGAATATCACTTTAAATACTTAGATTTCTGCTAAAAGTTTAAATGAAAAGATCAGTATCGCTGAACTGACAAATATTTTGGGTGCAGTGTATTTTTTGCATACGGGTATAAAAGACCGATTCCTATCGGTGTTGGCAGATATACAAATTTATAATATTGGTATCGGACATAAAAAAGTGGTATGGTGCCATCTCTAGTTGCTTTCTCTCTTGCAGCCTGTCCACATGACAGTAAGAACAAACCTGTGGTGCTGGGAGGCGTACAGTCACACACACACACACACACACACACACACACACACACACACACAC